GAGATATAGGTTGGGATTTTCTTGTCATTTTGATATGTTTTGCATAAGTTGAAAGGTTTAGATATTGTTTAACTAAGTATAGGATAAGGGTAAGTAGGTATATGTTGATATGGGTGCAAGCCGAGAGCCTAAAAGTGCATGCCATGCATTTGCGGAAGGCCAGGACTTGTACCATTGGTTGTTAAGTGACATTCATCAATTTTTCGTGTGTTGCTAGGTATATTGGGTGTAGGTTGGGATGTTGTCTTATTGGTATGGGATAACCGTATAAGTCTCTTTGTAGTATGATAATTGAATGTCGTGTATAAAATAGGTGGTAGAGGTTATTATATGTGTCTTGTGATTCCATAAACTGGTTGGTATGATGCATGACTATTTGGGGTGTTGTCAAGTATGCCTGTGGCTATCGTGAGGTGGTCATGTATAATTATGTTTGTAATTGTGGTATTTATGATAGACTACCATTGTAACGTATGATTTAGATATATAATAAGATATTATATGATTATGTGATGGTGTATTACTTGGTTGCTTAGTTCTTAAATTAATTTGTATGGTAACGTTAAATGTAAACCAACCATCCATGATTAGTTATTATTTGTGATATTTCTAAATGGTTATTGAAATGGGATATGTGAATTCTGATATTGAAACTCAAAGGATGAGATGTTATGGTAATTATTTTCTATAGCAATTATCTAATATTAGTGTGAGTGTCAGGGGATTGTACCTTTCCTCTTTCGAAGGGTAAAAAGGTAATCATCTTTCCTCTTGTAAGACGGTAGAAATATTTCGTTAATCTAGGCTTGCACCTTTCTTCTTGCTAGGGGGTAGAAAGGTGGATCTCTTCATCTTTAAAAGGCAGTGAAAGAGATGAGTCTCTTTGTCCATGATGGGTGACAAAAGGGATTGGGATTTAAGTGGTGCCCTTTTCTCTTTTGAGGGGGTAGAAAGGGATGAATGTCTCGCTCGTAGGGTTCTAGCTAATATGAGCATAATATCGACGAGAGCAACATTGAAGTTTTACTCATGAGCCTTCAATAGTAAGGGAGATAGGTCCGAAGCTACAGTGAAGGACGACTCGAATCGTCTTGTTTTGGTGAACAGGAGTGGTGCGGTGAAGTATGAAAGATGACATACGTTTGTAAAGTTAGTGGGTATTGGCATGTGTTGCCTTTAATTGACAAACTTGTGTAGTGTTATTGAGGGTATGGGGTCAAGAATGATGTTGTCTTGGTCTTTGATTGTTAATGGAAGAGTTATTGCTTTGTAATTGTTTTGCATGATTTTATTTCTCTATATTATTGTCATTAGTTCACCCCTATTGCTTGTGTTTATTGTGATGATTGTATAACATTTGTGTTATACGATAGCAAATGATGATACAAATGTTAATTATATAGATACGACGAGAGGATGGGGAAGATTACGAAAAGGGGAATCTTGGCTAATTATATGGTTGATAAGATTTTCTTTTTTTTAGGCCATGTTATGTTAATTTTGAAATTTGATTCATGTGATACATTTTTCCTGTATTATTGTATAATGTGTATTACAAGAATTAAGTTGACATATTACTATTTTTTTTAAAAAAATTGAATTAATAGGTTTTTGTGAGACTTAAAATTGGGATGTTACAAATGACATAAAGATTGATGAGACAAATACTAATGAAGAAAATTAAAAAAGACATGAATGAGAATACTATGCAACTATGAATGAAAGGAATTTTATTTTAACACATATGAAATTTGAACTTAGAAGAAGATTGAGCAACATCACTAGTCTCCATAACCATTTTCCAAGATTCCTCACATCACTACTAGAAAGAAATGATAAAAAGAATAAAGAAAAATCATAGAAAGGAAAAAAAAAATCTAATATGTTTAAATATTGTTTGCTATCAATAATATATTACTTTTTCTATAAAATATAATTACAAAGTTAATACATAATTTAAAACATGAACAAAATATAATTTTAATGAATAGTTTAAAGAAAAACATATTGAATTATATATATATATTATTGTTATCCCATCCAAATAGACATAGTACATCATTGGACTCATTCTTCAATACCATAATCAATCAAATTGAAACAAGTGTTTGTTGTGTTATATAAAGTAAGTGTCAAACAAGATCATGATTAATTGCAGGTGTTGGGCAAAATATGCTTGACCAACTCACTGTTTGAATAATCAATCAGTGTCTTCTCTCTGTTACGCAAAGTGGACCCATGATGGGAATGGGTCACATCTTCTGTTTACTAGCAAAAATATATTTTTTAATTTATAGGTTGTAACCATGTTGATTTGTGGTAATTAAAGTTAAAATAAGTGTTTAAGTATATATTTCTTAATACATTTTCCTCGAAGAAAGGTTACCCCTGTTTGTTTTTATTTTTCTTTAGTTAAATTTTAAAATTATTTTTTTCTTAAATTTTAAAAATACATAATCTTTAGGAGATATTTCTTAATTTTGAGTAGAAATAATTGTTAGATTTTGAATGCCTAAACTTAACCTAATCCAATCCAATTACAATTTATGCTATGTTTTGTTTAAGATTGTATTAAACTTGAGTTAACTTAATTTATCACACTTTTATACCAGTTGAGTGAGCATTTACTATGAATTCCTTCTTGAAACCTTAAATTAATTTTTGTAAATATTACTTATTTTTTAATAAGGTCTATATTTGAATTTTACAACTTTTGACAATGTTTTTCTCAAAATATATTTTATTCAATTAATCATTAGAAAATGGGAAAACTTAGGTTGATTTAAATGGGATAATATATTTATCCAAATCGTACCTATAATCTAACACATCAACATTCCTAATTTTGAGATTTTATAAAAATAAATTGGATAAGAAAATATAAATATAATAACATAGTACCATAAAAAATTTAATTATGTTTTGTTAAAAGATTATTATTTTAAAATTATATCATTTGTTAAACATAATTTTAATTATTACTTAGAATTATGATATTAAAAAAGAATGTCTTTAACTAAATTATGTAAAATTATGTTTTACTTAAGTAGTTAAGTTATTTTTCTAAAATCAAAGAAAACTATAAAATTATTAAAATTCTAATTATTATTCAAATAGTTTTTTAAATATTTGAATAATATCTATTTAGTTTAAAGATTTTAATTAGTGCTACAATTTAAATTCCTGTCAAGTATATTTTATATATGTTGATGTTAGACCTGGTAAAGGATTGTGATCAGGGAAATGCGCTGACTGAATTTCAAAAGGTTGAGGAATTCAAAATTTCATAGACAAATTCAAGTTTCATAAAATAATTTAATCTCTAGACATCATTTGTTAAGCGAAATTTCTATTTGTATAACGAAATTTTTATCTATTATGCAAAATTTCCATCCATTCAACGTAAATATGCAAAAAAAAATCATTTTGTAAATTTTCAATAATCCAAATCCAACTTTAACTAATATTTTGTCCGTTATGACAAAATTTAAGTGTTCATTTTGTATGTTCACTCCATAAACGTAAAAGGAAATAATTTTGTATGGAGATGAAAGTTAGTGATAATAAATGTCGTAGGTGAAATAAAAACAATACTAAGATTTTCTATATTTTGTGATGTAAAGTATAACATAAGCCAATTATTGGACGACACAGATTAAATTGTATTTACACTTTAATATTTTTTTCTGCAAATGAAAAAGGTTTAGGGATTTAAAAGTGTAAAACGTTAATTGCAAAATAAATTAAGAGATTTAAAACAAGATGGAAAACATATCAATCCACAATTTTCTAAAATCAAACAATTCTTAAATCATACTTCCCTAAATATTCAATCAATGTTTTTGAATAATTAAACGATTTTATCAATCGATTAATTAAATTTTAATATCATTCGATTCAATTTGTATTTAGTCAATATTCAATCGATTCTTAATTTGAATTATTATTTCAAAAACTCAAATTGATATAAAGTGCAAAACTAAAAATATGTAATAAAAGAACAAATTATATAATTGTATGACATGTGTTCAACCTAACGTAACCTCGATAACTCAACAACTAATAGAAGAGACTTAAAATAAAAATTAACCACGTATTAAAACTATAAACCTTATCTTAAAGCCATAGATACTAAGTAGTTTAGGTAAGTGACTGGTCTGACACAAATAAATTTTAACTATTTATAATACATCATATTTTCATATTTTCAATCACCAACAACAAACATCTTTTTCAACATTCCTAAAATGTTACAGTTGTATTTTTGGTCATACAACAAAATCATTCTTCCATACAAGCATTTTTCAATGTCGAACTCCGATTTTCTCCATGGTCCAACCATCATTAATGTAGTAAAGGAATATGACAACAATTATTTTTGATAATTAGCAGTGGTTCATGAATCGATGCATATTTATAAGATAAAGAACGAAGAGTTTTGACCTTGGTTAAGAATAGAGAAAAAAAAGTTCAAGATTTTGCTTCAATTATAAGAAAACCGAAAAAATAGATTTTTAGCAGCGATTCTACAAGCTATCGATGTCATAAATCCTATCAGATTTTAAATAATTATTTAATTTTAAGGATTTATGGCAACGGTTCTAGGAGGAACTGCTGTCATAAATCATTAAAATTAAATAATTATTTAAAATCGGATAGGATCTATGGCCTCGGTTGATTTTGGAATCGCTATCAAAAGTCTTTTATGCTTCAGTTATTGAGACAATTGCTACCATAGGTCCAATTTTATTTAAAATATTTTTTAGGGTTAAATATGTTTTTAGTCCCTAAACTATTGGTCGTTTCTGCTTTTCGTCCCTCTTTCAAAATAAGGTACAATTTGGTCCTCATTCTTTTCGAAACTTTGGTTTTAGTCCTCTAAAACTAATACCGTTAAAAATTAGCTGACGTGGCTAACGTTAGACTGACACACGATTTTTTTTTCAAGTGTTTCTCACCTTTTCTCCCCTTCTCTCTCTTCCTTCCATCTGCCACCCAACTTCATCTTTCACAGCATCCCTGGTTACATCTCTAACGTAACCAGCTTTCTTTCTCATGGAAATGGCAATCCCTTTCTTTGTCTCCTCCATCACCAAAGCAATTTTTTCCCCAATATCATGACACTTAACTTCACAACTCTTCCCTCTCGCAACCTCCACGCATATCCCAACCTCTTCCTCCAACAACTTGCAGTTGTAAAACTGCTCCGCCGCCGTCGGCCATCCTAGAATAGGCACCGCCCGACTCAGTGATTCCAGCACCGATTTCCACCCGTAGTGACTCAGAAACACCGAAACCGCAAAATGCCACAAAATCTCCAACTGGGGCGCCCAATCGCGAACCACCATTATTAAGCAAATATTGGCCAGAGCTTATTTTTTTTCTGCATGATAATGGTGTTTACATAAGCTGCAGAGTTTTAAAATTGTTCCAAATGGAAAGGATAATACAATAAAAATGGTGCTTACACTGGGTCTTTAAATCTCGCAATATCTAAATATTCCCTCCTATCTCTGCAAGTTTAAAGCATATCAGCTTTATAAAAATATTGTATGTCAGTAGCTGTTTGGCCCATCATATTTTGTAAATTCTTTCATAATATAAATTCTTTTATTACATTGTTTTTGTACTCAGTAGCTTGAGTTCATGAACACTTTCTTCCAGCCAGTAAAATTTTGGAGGTTATAATCAAGAAAATTAGTTCTCTAGGTCCCAATATCTAGAAATGAAGATACAATATTCTGGGTGGAAGATGGAAGGAAGAGAGAGAGAGAGGGAGAAATGGTGAGAAACACTTGAAAAAAAAAATAGTGTGTCAGTTTACCATTAGCCACGTCAGCTAATTTTTAACGGTGTTAGTTTTCGAGGACTAAAACCAAAGTTTCGAAAAGAATGAGGACCAAATTGTACCTTATTTTGAAAGAGGGACGAAAACCAGAAACGACCAATAGTTTAGGGACTAAAAACATATTTAACCCTATTTTTTATTATAAAGGTCTATGGTCTCGGTTGGAGTCAGAACCGAAGCCATAGACCCTTTTTTGTCTTGATTCTTACCATAATCATTGCTTAAAGTGTTCATTTCTTTTTAAAGATGGTTCTATTTTTGTAACATCCTACATCGCAAAAACAGACCTGCATATGAAATAAAGTTTATACAACACAAAAATACAAACCAAAATATATTTTTCAATCAAAAACGGAATTATAACCATAGATCAATTCAAGGTACAAACTATGATATGTTAATGTACAGATTATTATATCCTAACACTTACATACTATTGTACAAATATATTACCTATTTTGCAAAGGCTTTTCGTATGTAATGAATGGATTTATCAGGAACTGGAAGAGGAGTCTTGAATCTCTGCACAAAAACACAATGATTTCAATTAATGTATATGATTTTCAAATGATGGAAATTTTTTTTTGATTAAATGCAAATATTACTGTTTCCCAGCCACTTGTAATATGGACACGAATAGTAGTTGCATCCAATGCATTACATAGTAACCACACTCATATGAATTGGTTTGTCTATTACACTACAATATATCATAATAATTATAAATAATTAAGGAAGATCGCTTGAATAAAAAAATTATAAGAAAGTAAGGACCAAAATACCAAACCTTGAGGGCCAACCATTTAAGCTTTTTAGCATTAACAATGGATTTCTTGACAACATCCTATGTGCTGCAATTAAACTATGAAAAAAAAATGTTCTTACCAATCTACAACTTGTTTGAGATGTTTGAGAGGAGACTTGTGTAATGAACAAAACCACACAACAATGTTGTCTGATAAGGAAACCACAAGTCGCTGCCAATGTTGCCTAAAACAGATAATAACTTAATTGTTATGACTTAAAATCACAGATGGAACTTTATTGCCTTCATGAGTGAGCTGAGGGTGAATGAACCCATAAACATCATTGAACCCCATATTGTTACTTACACCAAACATACATGAAAACAAAAAAAGAAATATTTAATATCTCCATAATCAATCTCAATAACTCCATTATCTTTAATATCTTTAATCCCCCATAACCCGTTCTTGAATTTCACTGGTTTGCCAACGTAGGGTTCATTATTTTCATGCACAAAGTCTTGATGAACTAGTTTCTCTTCATTATCTACCTTCTTCATCTACTATTGGTAGTCTTCTCTACTTCCAGACCTAAAAAGAAAGATTCCAATTGCACTTGAAGTCTGGTGCTCAGCGCCCTCAATGGGGCGCCCAGGTAGTGATGCATGACATCTTGCGCTAAGGGCCCTTAAAGGGGCAATTAGGCGCCCTGCAACCTTCTTCAGTCTTCTTCTCTTTTTTATGATCTTGTGCTCCTAGTACAGACTTTTGGATTTAATCCTACAGACACTAAAGAACATTGCACTAGAGCACCCAATTAGCACAAACAGATAAAAAGATAAAATTAAAGATAAACTAAAAATTAAAGATAAAAAGATAAAAAAGATAAAATTAAAGATAAAGTCTAATCGGTTAAGAATAACACAAAAGTATAGTTTAAACCACGAGTCCCCGACAACAGCGCCAAAAACTTGTTAAGATGTCGGCAAGTGTACCGAATCGTATCAAGTAATATAAAATGGTAAGACCAAGTATCGTATCTTAGAAGACTCACGACACTAAAATATCATGTAATCACATAACTAATTAAGACTTAAGAATAATTTTGGGGGTTTTTCAATGCAAATGCAATAAAAATAAACATGAATGCAATTTGATCAATTGAGACTAAACACAAGAGTGAATGAATGATGTTGATAATATGAGATGATAATGTTGTTGGGGTTTAGATTTCACCGTCCTTACTCTCATGCATATAAGAATTCATTTTCTTCATTCATTGTTAACGTCACTCTCTAAATTACTTAAAACCCGATCCCTCGGTGAAGAAAGCCTATCCTTAATTACTAGACAACAATCCCTTGCATCCCTAATAATTAATTCTGCATTACGATTAAGAGCTTAAGATGGCCAATCCTCCTATCTCTATCCCTGGGCAATATTGCTCTTGGGAGAAATTCTCCAAATCGTGATTCGTAAGATATCTCCCGATACTCAGACAAATCATAAAATATAACAATTTAGCAAAGGAGAAAATCCCTAACAATTTTAATGAAAGAAGCATGTACTAATTCAAAACAAATTCAAATACATGAGAGTTTAGAGGTTACATATTCCCCAACAACAAAAAGATTTTAGTTCTCCATCGTCATGAAGAAACTAGGTGTACAATGGAATGAAAGAGATAGAAAAACCCTAGAAACTGAAGAGGAGAGCTCCCACATCCCCAAATCTGCCTCCAAGGGGCGAAAAGTGTGTTTCTGTGCTCAAGCCATCAAGAGATACAATCCCTAGGACGTCCAAGTCCTTAAATAGAATAGAAAAATGACAGGAAACAGGTATAAGCCCACATCGCTGGCGCTCAGCGCCCTAAGTGGGGCTCCTAGTCGTTGTGCAGGAAAAAACTGGCGCTCAGGTGCCCTACTAGGGCCCCAGGCACCCAAGGTACAAAGCTGGCACTCAATGCCCAGAATAGGGTGCCCAGGCGCCCTACAACACAAAAAAATGGCGCCTAGCACCCTTAATGGGGCGCCTAGGCGCCCTGCGTGCCCTACTATACTCCTTTTCTGATGCTTTAACTGTTCCTCTTGAATTCCAACCCCTTGATACTTTTGTTCTTCTTCCAAATCATACTAATAACCTACAAAATCAAGGGAAATTAGTGATAAAAGCATCAAGTATACCCTCTACTAACTTATTCACAAAACTAAACTAAAAACATGAGTTCAAGCAAGCTTCTAAGTCCAAAAAGGGTTGATTTAATATCAAAATTGAATCACAGATAACGGTGTTTTCAACCGTTATCAGTAAGCTACATGCCATCTTGCACGTACAAGTACATGTGGATGTTAGAGTTTCTCCCAAATACAATATAATCCCATGGAACCATCATTGTCTCATCTGCAATGATGTTAGTAAGTTGGTGTAATGCACCAAGAGGGTTGTCCTCAGATAAAAGAATCTTCTTGGGTGTAAGACTTTCGTCTCCTTGCGTCTATTGTTATATGAAAAAATATTTAAGTTTGAACATCAATAACATGAAAAGCTCAAAATTGAGAAATGTATAATGGGAATCCATAGCATGGGACCAGAAATAGAACTAACCAACTATTTAGACTAGGCGAGAAAAGATTAAAATGCATGTGCCATAGTAAATATCTCATATGTTAGCACAAGAACTATAACATATGGTATGACAACTTCCTCTACCTTGACCTTGACTTCAACGTCTGATATCTCTATACCATGAAGAACAGTGGTTTCCTCAAACATTATTCCATGTGGCACTAATATCTTTTTGGTACCATTAAAAACATATACTTGACATGGATGAGTGTCGTCCATATGGTCCCTTGGAACGACCAAAGTTGAACAACTACCTTTACCACTTCTACTTGTTAGAACTAATGTTATAAAGAAACATTATTGAATTTGTAAGTTAGCACAAAATGATTATTAATTTTACCTATGGGAAGCATAACATGTTCCTTTAGAGGAGATGCTTGCAGACGAATGCCATAACTATCAAATTATTGTTGGAACTGGCATATAACCCTTTTAGTCACTTTAGGAGTGACTTCATCATAAAGTTGCGCCCTGACCTTCTTGGTGATCTCCTACGTCAGCCTTTCTTCATACTCCTCATTGTGTGTGTATGAAGTGTGACACGATAAGCCCCAAAAATAATGTTGAATGCTAACGCCATATCTAATAGCTCAAGTAGTCCAATTTTTGTAGCAAGGATATCATGACAACCTTTTGGAATGAATTGGCCTTGGGAGCTCTTCTCAACCAAGGAATCTTGTAACATAACAAAATAAAATTATTATTTAAAATAACATATAATATGTATAATGACAATATTATGATTATAAGAAAAGTGATATCTTACAATTATTTCTGATATTTCTCGTGTATTTTTAGAAGAGTAGGAGCTCGATGATCCTAAATGGGCTAACTTTCACTTCTCATGACGAGATGGTGGTGAAGCAGGCTAGGGAAAGTCACCCTCAAAATGTGGGGCTCTACCTTTTGACTTTTGCCTGATGACTTTTGCCCAATGTCTTATAAAATAATATATAACATATTATTCAACAAAATATGTAAATTTGAAATTTATACATAAAGTGATGGGTTGGTCATATGTATATTCTCTCATTGTAATCTTCCTGAATTACATGTACATCGTCAACAACAGGGTCATCATCAAAATTTATTGTCGTTTTAAATGAATGATTGTCAGCAATAAGAATGT